GAGGCTTTCTACTCCCGTAAAGATTTACACCCTCGGAAACCCTATACAGGGTCGCTATGGGTCGGAACCGACTCGATGGCACATAACAACAACAACAACATCATAGTGTACTGGTGTGGCACTGTGGGATAGTGTGCTAGACTGTAAGGTTGGTGTGAACTACAAGGTTGGCGGTTCAAACTTCCCAGTTGTTCCTTGGAAACCTTATTCAGAGTCGCTATACATCAGAACCGACCGGACGGCACTTGACAACAACAATCATGGAGTCCTTGTGTGGCACTGTTGGATAAGCAGTGGACTGCTAACCTCAAGTCAGCAGTTGAAACCCACCAGCTGCTCCTTGGAAACCCCATAGGGTCACTATGAATGAGAAGCGACTTGACGGTACTTAACAATAATCATGTAGAATTGAGCATATCATTTAATCTTTTATTGTTGTTGAATATCCAATTTTTCAGTTAATGCAGTATGTTGCATTCAGCATCTCCACAGGCTAATGTTGTTGTTGCTAAATGTCATGCATTTAGCTGTAGACGCCAGGCTCAGGAACTCAGGTCTGACAGCTTCGCCGATGGCTCCTCTGCTTGTCTTTCCGGTGGCAAATGCGCTTTTCAAATACCAGTGTCCCTCAAGCAGCAAATTGATCCTGCTAACCTGGGCACTGACAACTGGCTCCCATAACCTGGTGTCAGTGTGTGCTTGTCTGCAGCACGTATGGTAAAGTGCATTTTCCTAATAGCGTTCTTTGCCAAGCCCCAGAGGAGGAGCAAGCAGGTGTGGCTTTGGTACTCTTCTGACCATGTGCCTCCACAGGAGAGTAACAGCAGTGCGTCTGTATATATATTGGGAACTGACTACACGGCACTCAACAACAAAAACGAGAAAGTGCCTCTTTATATATCGGGTAGCCACTGTTAGATGGAAGAAGGGGCCCTAATGTTTATTTTTAAACAGTTTGAAAACTTCTAGTAAAATGGAAAGATCATAGGATTGATGGTTGGTTTCCTGGCCAACTCTGGGACCCAGGGCTAATGTTAGCAACCCCGCTGACATTTGAGGCTTATGATAAGGTACAGGGATGAGAGTGTTTTCCATGGTGTTGTCTTCCCAGAGCTTTTCTCAGAAGACTGCATGGCAGCGCAGAGTTTGGTGACAGGCTGCCTGAGCTTGAATTCTGTATTACAAAGCTCTCTAACTCGGTGTCCTTGGACACGTTTCCTACCCTTTCTGAACTTTAGCACCTTCAGTAATATATAGTCATTCAGAGAGCGAGTATAAAGATTAAAGCAGCAAATCCATGCAAAATAGCTAGGCCTTGCGCTGACACACAGCAAGCTCTCTATTGAGCTAATTGTAGCACTTGCAGTGGCAGAATCCTCACCTTCTAAGTCAGGGAGCTAGCCCAAGCACATTACAGACAGCTAACACCTGTCCGTCAGTGGAGGCGTACGCTTTGCTATGGTGCTGGACAGGCCCAGTGGTAGAAAGATCTAAAGACCTACTTCTGGAAACCAGGCAACAAAACCCCTGTGGATCACAATGATCAGACCTGTCACCAAGCGTGTGCATGGTGCAGGATTAAGCAGCATTTCCTTCTGTTGTCCACAGGGCTGATTTCTCCTGTGATAATTACCGTCTTGCTGGTACTTTAATTAGTGTCTTTTCAAGATCACACTTACCCCTTCCACCATGCCCCTGGCACGCTCTATGCCATTCCACCATGTTGTCTGAAGGCAACTACAGTGTAAGGAACCATGTCCCTAAGACGAGTGGTGTCACATGACTCCTACTGTACAAAGGAGTCTCCTTTTAGCTGAATGAGAATCCAGCCTGCAGGTGGAGATAAGCTTTGGGAAAGACAAGGGAGAGGCCCACAACCCCCCAGCATTTTTCCAAGATATGCTCTGAAGCCAGAGCTGTGTCCATATGATAAGATGGCCTTTCTTTGTCCCATGTAGAATACGTCAGCCCAGCGACAGTCAGCCTGCTCTGAGAAACTGCAGTTTAGTGACTTTTCTATTGTGATGTCACTGAAATGATTCATGTGCACTTCATGCTAGCCCATAAATCAAAACTCCATGTTCAGGCCAGGAAATAGTAGTTACATTAGTAAAAGTAAGACCATCCAATATATCCACTTCAATTTTTTAGTTTGATTCAAATGTAAGAAAATACGTAACTACTAAAACTCTATCAAAAAACTGCTCTAACTTCATCTGAAATAGTAAACGAATTGCCATGGCTAACTTTTCTTTTTTTTAAAATCAAAATTGTTGCTGTTATTAAGTGCTGTGGAGTTGCTTCCAACTTACAGCAACCCTATACAGGGTTTCCAAGGGACTGCTGACCTTGAGGTTAACAGTTCAGTGCTTATCCTACAGTTCCACACCATAACAGCTGCTCAAGTGTTCTGGAATGTGATGGCAAAAGTTCTTTTGACAATGGATAAAAGGAGATTTGAAGTCTACCAAATATTCTGACCCACCTATGAGATTTTCTCATGTCCTTCAATATAGCAAAGAGTCTTTTAAGATTTGAGAGAATGCAAAATTTTTAAGAGGTTTCCTGACTTTCACTTTCTTCACCAGTGATGATAGTAAGCATAAAGTTTCACCTATGCCACAGTGGCAATGTGAGATTTCAAAGAGATTTAGCAGACGTACAAGTTTTAGACATTGTGAGTATACATTTGCTATATCCTCTTCTCTCTCACCAGATGCCTGCCTTTCTGATGCGGTTCCCAGACTCATAACCTTCTCCCCAAACATCTCAATACACCAAAGCCTCAAGACCTCTCTGATCTCCCCTCTTCAGTTGTCTGAGCTCAGCTCGTGCTAGCTCTGTCTATGGAGACTTCAATGGTCTGTGAACCCCTCTGTCCATGGCTGCATTGCGAAAATTCCCACAGCCTGAGAACCGGAGCCCAGAGCCACTGCTACTGACCACTGCCCATGTGTCTGTGTGGCTTCCTACACTTGTCCGTACATTGCCTTCCTCCCAGCCTGGCAAAGACAAAACTCTTCAACCTGCAGATAGGTCAGGCTTCCTTCAAGGATTCAAACCCCATGTTTGATTCTTTTAAATAATCAAAGGTGTTTTCTTTTACTACCATGAGATTCACTTATCTGGAAAGACATATAAAACCACTCTAAAACTCTTTTGTTCAAATCTTTTACACAGTCCAAATGCTTTTCAAAGAAAATTATGAACATGTTATGGTTAAAATGGCTTGGTCAAAGAAATAACCACTACTTGTCTGTCAGTATGTGGTATGTAAGTGGCTTGTTGTCATGACTGGAAAACTATGGTACTGGGATCCTTCCAGGCTGCACAGCGAGCCATCAGCAGCCGGCCTGACTGAACAGGCAGAGGGTGCCCTGGGAGCTGCCTCCAACCCCTGGCTCCCTTCTAGAGTGGAGGCCTTAGGTCTCCTCCCCTTCCCGGTCCTTCATGACTCACCATTTGTTCTCAGTCTCCAAGCACACGGTCATCTTCATGTACTGGTCTTCCTTTCGCTCCTCCAAAGTGGCAGACACAAGAGAAAGTTCCCCAAAGAGAGCCACCAACCAGGTCAGACGAGAGATGCCACTGAATGCTGGGAAACCGAACCGTTCTTCTTCCAAAGGGCCAGCTGTGGGGAATTGTAAACATGGTGGGAACGGGGAGTGAGGGGTGACAGGCCAGGGGACCAGGGCAGTGGGACCTTCCCTACAGGTGTATGTGCGCAAGACTAATGGCGATGACAGAGAGCTTACATGGCTGTCAAACTTCTGTCATCAAAGGCTCTCTCCTTTTCCTTGCTTGTTAAATTCCATGTTCTTAGCAAAATGATATTACAATATTTCAGTGTAAATAGCAGTCAATTTAGGCAAAAAGTATTATCAAAATGTTTCAGACTCTTAATGTATTTGGAGTCCTGGTGTGGGATAAGCAATTGACTTCAAGGTCATTTTGAACTGCAAGGCCGTTGGTTCAAACTCACTAGCTGCTCCTCGGAACCAACTCAGTAGCACTGAACAACAACAATGTATATGGAGCCCTGGGGTGGCACTGTGGGCTAATGCATCAGACTGCAAAGTCATTGCACCACAAGGTCGGTGGTTCAAGTTCACCAGCTGCTCCTTGGAAACCCTAAACACGGTCACTATGGGTCAGAACTGACTTGGCAGCACTTAACAACAACAGCATGGGACTGTGAGCCAAAAAGTCAGAGGTTCGAGCCCACCAGTTGCCTCCTCACAAGAAAGATGAGGTTTTCTCCTCCTGCAAAGATTTTATAAAGACTTGGAAACCTCAGACAAGGTCACTGTGAGTGAGAACTGACTCTCTGGCACTTAACAACAGTAATATATCTATAGGAGCTCCCAGGTGGTTTGAATGACTAAGCATTAGGTTATTAGCAGAAAGGTTGGTAGTGTGAATCCACCCAGAGGCATCTCAGAAAAAAAATTGGCAATCTGCTTATGAATGATCACAGCATAAAAACACCATGGAGAGCTATGCTATGTTGCATGCATGCAACGTTGCATACATGCTACGTTGCATACATGCTACATTGCATACATGCTACATTGCATACATGCTATATTGTACACATGTGGTTGACGTAAGTTGTAATAAACTTAATAGCAACTGATTTTTGTGTCATATACCTACCTATCCATATGTATATATATTATCTATACACATAAATAAGGAGCTCTGGTAGCGCATTGGTTGAGTAAGGCTTCCAACCTCAAGGTCAACAGTTCGAAACTACCAGTGGTTCCATGGGAGAAAGATGAGGCGTTCTGTTCCCGTAAAGATTTGTTGTTGTTAAGTGCCGTCGAGTCGGTTCCGATCAATAGCGACCCTGTATGGGGTTTCCAAGGAGCAGCTGGTGAGCTGGAACCGCCGACTTTGCAGTTCAAATGGCTTTACAGTCTGACGCATTAACCCCCAGCACCACACCAGGACTCAAGCTTATGAGACTGTAAATCAAACACAGCCTCATCTTTTTCTTGTAGAGCAGCTGGGGGGTTTGAATTGCCAACCTTGCTGTCAGCAGTCCAGTGCATAACCCACAGTGCCACTGGAGTTCCTTTTAAATGCCATATAAAGGCTATGTAAATGACAATAAAACAAGAGCAGTGACAGCTAGTTCAATGCCAAGGAAAGTGACACAATTAGTCCCCAGTGTCAGATTGCCCAGTAAACAACGTAAACATGGGCTTACTTACTAAACTACAGTCAACGGTTTCACATGGTTAAGCCATGTTCATAGCAACCCTGTATGGGGTTTCCGAGGAGTGGTTGGTGGGTTTGAACTGCCATCTTTGAAGTTCATATTGACCTTGCAGTCTTAGCGCTTATTCTACAGTGCTACATCTTTGTTGTTGTTAAGTGCCCTCGAATTGGTTCTGACTCATAGCGACCCTGTATAGGGTTTCCAAAGAGCAACTGGTGAGTTGAAACCTCCAACCTTGTGGTTCAAAACCACCTTGCAGTCCAGTGCTAGTTTTTTTCTAAACTAAATCAGGAACTTCAGTTCCTTGAAAACATGACCCCTCATGGTGATGGTTTCACTAAAGTCAAGAGGTCGATTAAGAAGCAGTGAGATGTTATTGGAAAATATGAAGGAAAAGCAGAACCGCAGACAACCCACTAAACTTCTGAGCAGGAACATCATCCCCATCCCCAGGGAGAAGCCAGGCAATCAGCGTCTTCCTCTCCAAGCATCCGTCTTCCAGTCTTCTTGTAAAAAGAGAGAGCTCATACACAGTTTCTTGTGGAGGAAAATCTCCAACTTGTTAAGATTTCATGAGAAGTTGAAATAGATTCAACCAGAAGCATAAATAAGTTTTCAATTTATAACATTTTTTTTTTTTTTTTTTTTACTCAAGGCCCACTAAGGAATTCAATCTCATTTGAGAGGAGAATGAAAATAGGTATTTGTATTGTTCACTGAGGTATTTGTTGTTGTTGTTGTTAAGTGCCTTTGAGTCGGTTCCGACCCATAGCGACCCTGTACAGGGTTTCCGAGGGTGTAAATCTTTACGGGAGTAGAAAGCCTCATCTTTCTCCCGCGGAGCGGCTGGTAGTTTCGAACCGCTGACCTTAAGGTTCGCAGCCCGATTCGTAACCACTACGCTACCAGAGCTCCTGGAAAGCTAAATTAAAATTGGCCCTAGGTCAGACAGCCATTAGCAGGAAGGAAGCCAAACTCATGTTCTTGGGAGCTGGGGCAAAACCCAACAGGCCTCCAGGCCTCTGTACCAGGGTGACCTACATTCCCTCTAAAACTGACCTGTGAAGAGAAGCGATCCTTTCAGCAGATCCTTGCCCACCACTTCCTTCTTCAGAAATGCAAACTCCTCCATTAAGAGTTCAATATGTTCCTCGTGTAGGATTTTTCCTGTCATGACAAACATGAAGTAAGAAAGGTAGTTCTTCAGGGACTCAGACAGAAACCTGTACACCCGTGTTCCTGGCAGCATTGTTCACATGAGCCAGAAGGTAGAAACCACCGAGTATGTCAGCAGACAGATGAACAAAATGTGGTTCACACATACATTGGACAATAACTCAGCCACGGGCACATGCTACCACATGGATGAACCTTGACAAACTTATGCTCAGTGAAATAAGTCAGTCACAAAAGGAGACACCATGCATGCTCTCTTATTCAAAATATCTAGAATAAAAAAAATGAGTAGAGAAAAAAGGTTGTAAGTGGTTGGCAGGGGTGAGTAGGAGGAGAAGATGGGATTGCTTCAGGGACACCAAACTGATGCAAAAGTTCGGGGAGTGCATAGAGGTGATGGCAGCATAGCATGGTGAATGGAACTGATGCCAATGAGTTGTATACTTAAAAATGGTGCAACGACAGACTTTGTTATATGTATTTTACTTTTAAAAAGGGCCGCCATCTTGATTTGTGGGGAACAACGCATCCTAGAGACTTCCTCCAGAACAGGACACACAGTGCTCTGAACCACCGTGGGTACAGGGCAAGGCAGACGCCACTACGCCTCAAATACCCCAGCCGTGAGGGTGCCGGTCCTAAACTTCCAGCAGAAATAAGAACCTAAGAAAGCAAGATGGCATCCACTTGTCTCAGGAACATGGCTGAGAGCCAGCCGGGTGTTAGCTTCTTTTCTGGACAGAAGGGGGCAGGATAACACAAAAATCTAGACCACATATAGAAAAGGGAGCTTCTGAACTAAACCTTGTTGTTCTTGTTAAGTGCCATTGAGCCTGTTCAGACCCATTGCAAGCCCGTATTGGGTTTCCAAGTTGTAGCTGGTAGGTCTGCACTAAATGAGGGTGCTAAAATTAGCCTCTTCATTTCAAAGCACTGGAAAAATCAGATGGTTAAAAACAACAACAAGGCTGAAGGGACGACAAAGGCTTAATATTCATAACTGAAACTTTAAACTGTAAGAAAAAGTTGTTCAAATATCTTGCTTTTGCGATTTTTATCTCCGACTTAGGCCAGAAAGTATCTCTGGTGGCGCAGGGCTGCTAATACCAAGGTTAGCAGTTGGAATCCACCAGTGGTTCCACAGTAGAACAATGAGGCTTTCTATCGCCTTAAAGACTTACAGCCTTGGAAACCATATAAAGAGTTGTCATGAGTCAGAACTGACTTCACAGCACACAACCACCACCACCATCTACACCAGAAACTTCATAAAACACCACACCTCTTTTGTGATTAAACACAGTTCTATATGCTGACTGGAATGGTGGTTACATGCTTGTATACTCTGTCAGAATTCACAGAACTCTGTACTTAAAAATTGCTGTGTTTCATTCAGTGTAACTTAGGGTTTTGTTGTAAAGTACCGTTGAGTGGTTTCAACTCATAGCAACCATGTATAGGGTTTCAGTAGCGTAGTGGTTACGAATTGGGCTGCGAACCTTAAGGTCAGCAGTTCGAAACTACCAGCCGCTCCGCGGGAGAAAGATGAGGCTTTCTACTCCCGTAAAGATTTACACCCTCGGAAACCCTGTACAGGGTCGCTATGGGTCGGAACTGACTCGATGGCACTTAACAACAACAACAACAATAGGGTTTCAGAGGAGCAACGGGTGGGTTTGAACCATCGACCTTGTGGTTTGAAGTCCAGCACTGATCAAACAGCACCACACCAGGAGTCCTATGTAAGTTACAGCTCAATTAAAAAAGAAGACAAAGGCTCAGGTCATTCATTATGTTTTTCGGGTGATTGACGCGTAACAGAATCATTACTGGAGTTTCTTCAAGGGCTTTGGTATGGATGTAGCACCTACTTTTGTACAGACTTCTTAGAAATTCTCAGGCACTGGGTTCTACCTTTATAACTAATTCAGCCATTGCAAGTGCAAGACAAAGTTTGCATTTCTTCTTGTTAGATGCACCAAAGATGGCACAGTAACCCGTTAGACCGGGCTGAAGAACGGGGCTGGGGAACACGTCTCCAGAAACTGAAGGACAGCAGACCCAGCACTTTCAACAGTGATTCGTTTCATGCGTGCACCTCAATTTTATGAAAAGGGAAATACGATTTGAAACACCATTTGTGGTATTTCAAATGTAGAAATTTCCCTTAACCAGACACTAGTTGTATATGATACCCAATGCTAGGACTAATTTCCATGGTAAAATAAAAATGTCAACACTGTTTTGGTTCCTCTGAAATTTTTACACGAAGCTGAGCTCTCTGTCTCTATAACATACCTATTTACACTGGGGCAGCACGTAAATGATTTCTTCCTGTGGAGAGTGTTCAGTTAAATGCTTGGCTGCAAGTTCAAAGGTTCGAGGTCCAAGTCTATCTATCCAGAGGAAGAAAGTCCTGGTGATGTACTTCCAAACAATCAGTGATTGAAAACCCTGGGGAGCACAGTTCTACTCTGAGTCAGAGGTGACTGGTTTTACTGGCGAGCTTGTAACATTTCTGAATGGGGGGATCAGATCTTCCATTAGTCATTTCTTTTTTATGCTAAATATTCAAATGACTCACAGTTAATATTAGACTGTTGCTGCTCCCACTATGCCAGTCCATCTTGTTGGGGGGTTTCCTCTTTGTCGCTGACCCTCTACTTAAGTAAGCATGACCTCCTTCTACAGGGATTGGTCCCTCCTGATAATATATATGGTCCTTGGTATTTTGTTTCTCATTTAATTTTTTTTAACTAAAGCCACACTTGATTCAGATTCCCTTAGTGTTTCACGAACATCCTTTTTCACTGTTTCAGAAACCCACCCAGGACACATTACAATTAGTTGTCACTATCTCCTCAGGTTCCTATTGGGTTGAAAGGTTTCTCAGGTTTTCCTTGCTACTGAGAACCTTGAGTTTTAAGGACTGTTGGTCAGGCTAGTACATTGATTGAATGTCCCTCAATTAGATTTTTTGTTTTGTTTTGTTTTTTAAAATGCTTTATTGTGTATTATATGTTAGTTTACATGGGAGAACATTAGTTTTACATTCATTCTATCGTATATCATTTCATTGCCATGGTTACAATCCCCTCCATGCATCATCAACACAGTCGCTCTCCCTCTCGGGATCTAAAGTCCCCAGCTGCTCCATCGCTGCATGTAATCGTCTCTGCCTCCATCTCAGGCATCACTGCTTCTCTGGGTAGGGTCCCGCTCTCTGCTCTTCTCCCTTGATGGTCCTAGGGACCTCCGATCCTAGACTGAAAAGTTAATCACTCCCCTCCTTGCTACAAAACATCTACCTTTACATTTCCAACCCTCACAATCAGTCCTGATAACAATTATTCACTATTGTATCACAAGAGACCCATCTGCATTTCATTTCATCAGCTCCGCCTAGACAGACTGGATACTACTCACTGGACATTCTGCCTTCCTCCAGGCCCCCTGGCTCTAGGTTCCCTCTTGAAAGCTTGTAAGCCAGTCACTTCTTGCCTTTGTAGCCCCTCCCCGCCCCCTTTTGGGTAGCCAATGTCCAAGTTGCCCATCCTTGTCTACTCTGTGTGTGGAGGGGGTGGGAATGATTCTTGCTGTAAGGATTTGTTCCCTCTTTTGAGCTACTGCATCCATAGGTGTAGGTCAAGTTCATGAAATTGTATCAGATTACTCTTTTTTCCCTCTTTCCTCTTCTAGTTGAGCTCTGATCATCCAGTCATTGAAACCAGGTCAAGTGGGTATTAGCTGCAAGTGTGGGTGTTCTTGTGCATATGCCCTCTCTTCTTATCAGCTGGACACTTCACCCTCCACTCTAGTCCTCTGTGGCTATGTCACTGACTCTGGGCCCAAGAGTCCCCAGGTCTTGCCACACTGCTGGCAAAACAGGTCTTGACCTGGGTTCACAGAAGTGTAATGAACATTGTAGGGCTTAGCTCACCACTTCATTGCTGTTTTTCCCTCGCTTCCTCTTATCGGTGACAAGCGCATGGTCACCAATCAGAGCGTGTATCCCCTTTGAGTCTTAGTCTTGGAAGGGGGTTTGCACTGCTCAATTAGATTTTGTCTTATGTTTTTCTTATGATCAGATTGTGAGCTTTCAGAAGGAAACACACAAAGGCCAAGTGCCATTCTTATCACATCATATCAAAAGTACATACTACCAACGTGACTTGTCAACGCTGATGGTGAGCACTTGGTTGAGAGGGTGTTAGTGCAGATTTTCCACTATAAAGAAGCTCTCACCCTGCCTTTACTTTACTGTACTCTTTGGAAGTCACTGGGTACAGGATATTGTCTTTTTGAATAGTTGTCTTGTATAGTGTCCACATTCCAGCTGGCTTGGTTTTGGAATGGTGTCATTTAACTTGTTTCTCCATCCCTGTAGTTGCCGCGAACTGGAATTGTGCTCTGAAGTTCAACCGTATGAAGGCAAACATTTTGTAATACTTCCTGGGTGCTTTGCACTCAGAGACTTGAGATGCAGGTTGACCCGTGTTCATCATTTGGCTAGGATGGTGACCAGCAGAGCTCATCATTGTCAAAATACACTTTCCCTTTGCAATCAGCTAGACGTCTGTGGGACATACTTTGGCATCTTGGACTTACTTCAGGGGCATTAATACTATGAGAAATAACATAGGAGGGTAAGTCCAAATATACTGCAACTAGGGTTCTAGTTCATGCATACACAGATCCAAAACAAAATGGCTTTAAACATGTCTCTGTAATTGTGGAGGGCTGCAGACAAGTTCTTTCATTTGTCTTTGGTTAGGGTGCTTTCCAAAACAAAAACAAAAACAAAAACAAAAACAAAAACAAAAACAAAAAAAAAGTCCAAATAAAAGCTTGAGGGGAAGGATCCCTTGGCCAGTTCAATTCAAAGCAGAGCAGTCAGTTCAAAGGGTTACGGTAACTGTTTGGAAAACCCCAAAGGGATAATCTTGGAGTCCTGGTGTGGCGCTGTGGGTTAACGTGCCAGACCACAAAGTCGTTTGAATCGCAAGGTCAGCGGTTCAAGCTCACCAATCACTCCTTGGAAACCCTATCCAGGGCCGCTATGGGTTGGAATTGACTCGATGGCACTTAACAACAACAACAACAAAGGAATAATCTTAATAGACTTTTCTCACAGGACACAGGGATTACAAGGTTTATTAGGAAAAAGTCTGAAGAAAATGGAAAAATGAATTGATGAGAAAATCGCAGGAAAATGCACAGGAATTTTTTTCCCATCCTAACAATGTACCTGCTCTTTCTTCATGGCTACCAAGGGCTGTCCTAGGAGAGTTGTGTTGGGAAATTTTATCTCATTCACTCTATAGCTCTGATCTTGCCTCCTGTCAACCCCTATGCATTCTAGTTCAATGTAGTTGCCTGCAGAGAGGGATTGGCCAGTTATACAAAACAGGAGCTCTCAGGAGGATACTGTGGCTTTAGTGCAGCATGTGTGGACTTCAGAGGCGAATACAGAAATGCCTCCTGCCACGGATCCCAGGAGATTTAAAGAAATAACTTATAAAATGTGCTTATCAATTTCTGACACATGTTGTTATTGTTAAGTGCCATCCAGTCAGTTCTAGCTCACGGTAACTCTCTTTAGGGTTTCTGAGGTGGATTTGAACTTCTGAGCTTGTGGTTAGCAATCCAGTGCTGATGTCACAGCTCCACACAAGGACTTCTCCTGATATAGAGTGAATATTTAATAAATGATGATTACTTTTGAAAAATTACCAAATACGTATCTACAGTAAGTTGTCGTTGTTGTTGTCAGGTGCCATCGAGTCCGAACCGACTCATAGCGACCCCATGCACAGCAGAATGAAACAATGTCTGATCCTGGGCCAACCTCACTACCACACTTGATGCCATCAATGATGCCACCTGACTGATCCATCTCGTTGAGGGTCTTCCTCTGACCCTCCATCTTACCCAGCATGACATCCTTCTCCAGCAACTGTTCCCTCCTGACAATACGTCCAAAGTATGAGAGACGATGTTTGGCCATCTTGGCCTCTAAGGAGCACTCTGGCTGCACTTCTTCCAAAACAGATCTATTGGCACTTTTAGTATTCTCCTCCAACACCACAACTCAAAGGCATCAATTCTTCTACAATCTTCCTTATTCATTGTCCAGCGTTCACTTCCATATGAGGTTATTAAAAATACCATGGCTTGGGTCAGGCGCACCGCACCTTAGTCCTCAAGCTGACATCTCTGCTCTTCAACACTTTAAAAAGTTCCTGTGCAGCCAGATTTGCCCAATGCAATACGTCATCTGATCTCTTGACTGCTGCTTCAGCGAGTGTTGACAGTTCATCCAAGAAGAATGAAGTCCTTGACAACTTCAATCTTTTCTCCATTGATAAGAATGTTGTCTACAATAAGTAGTAACTTTGATTTGGGCATTTCCCACTAGCACTGTAAATATCATGTAAATAAAACCACAGATGGAAGCTAATTCATGCTTTATAAGAACACAGGCTTGCAAGTTCCCTGCCACCTTCCTCCTCAGCCTCCATGTGTCCCTCAGTATATACAGGCTAGCAGGGGATCAGAAGGGGAGTCCAGTGTAGCCAGGGCAATGTATCTGAAAATTCTCATTTTGAGAATGAAGTCGTGAAGGGATCAAAGTTGGGACCACAGAACCCCTGGGGATAGGAGAGGGCCTATGTTCCAAACAGACAGAACATACGTCACCTTTCTGGTCAGCCAGTTCCCAGAGTTCCTGAGCCGCTGCCTGAGACAGTGTCATGGGGTATTCCACGAGGACATGCTTCCCAGCATTTAGGAACTGCCTTTGGAAAAAGAGATAAATACAGGACAAGTACACTTGAAATAGCTTCACTCAAATGCTTTGCATGACAAAGAACAGACTTATAAATACCCAAGAGTTTAAAAGCCTTTTGTGTGTAAATGTGTTAGAAGCAATGGGGGTCAGGATCAGTGGCAAAGAATATCACATTATTGTTAATTTGCAGTAGAAATAATATAGAAGTAGGCCTATTTTTATTACTGCCTTCTTGTTGTTGTAAAGTGCCGTGGAGTCGATTCCGACCCATAGTGACCCTGTAAGGGTTTCTGAGGAGCAGCTGGTGAGCTTGAACCACCAATCTTGCAGTTCAAATGGCTTTACAGACTCCCTTCTAGTTATGTATTAATTTAAACCTTCATTTATCCAACTATTTACCAGTTACTAGGAGTCCTGGCATGGTACTGTAGAATAAAGCACTGGACCGCAACATCAGTTTGAACTGCAAGGCCAGTGGTTCAATCCTACCAGTCGCTTCTCAGAAACTTAACAACAACAGTTGTCAGGTAAGGTGCCCTGGTGGCCCAGTGACTAAGTGCATGGTTGCTAGCTGAAAGGTTGAAGGTTCAAACCTACCAACTGCTCTGCAAGAGAAATATGTGGTGTAAGAGCTACAGACTTGAAAATTCCATTCTATAGGGTCACTGTGAGTCAGGCGCACCTCAACGGCACTAGATTTTGTCAGGTGTTCCGATGGAGTCATAAAAATCCACGAACAGGTAAATTTCAATACCATATGGTAACTACAAATAAAGACCATGATAGCTAGTTTGCCTTGAGGTAATCTGAAAATATTTCACTAAGGACATTTACACTGGGTGTTGAAGCATGAGTAGGAGTTTTTCAGGTATAATGTGTCAAAGGGCATTTCATTTCATTGTGCATTGGGAAGGGCATTTAAGGGGACTTTGTCTATTTGGAAAATGGTGTGAATTTTAGCATGGCAGGAGAGTGACTTATAGGGAATGGGGAGAAATGTTACTATCAAAGCAGGTGGGAGGCTGTCTGTGAAGAACTGTGCTCTGGGGGCTGGATTTTATTCTACAGATAACAAGAGTCAACTTGGAGTCATGACAACCCTGTGTGTCTCAAAGTAAAACCGTGCTCCATAGCATTTTGTTTCTTGTTTAAAAAAAAACACAAAACTGAACACATTACAATTTGTATTAGAATTAAGAAATGGAAGGTACGGGAGTTTTTATTTTAATTTTAATTCTTATACTATAGAAATATACATAAAACTCAGATTAGGTATTTACTCCCTCCTCCAAATTTATCCCCACAGCCACAGTTTACAGTGATGCGTAATAAAGGCATGGGTTTCAATTACATGCTCAGTTCCTGACTAAATTTTATGCATTTTGAGAATATAAACTTAACATTCAATTTTTAATTAATCTTTAAAAAAATTTTTTAAGTGAACTATAGATTTCCAATGGCTGACTTCCAGGAACTAGATTATCAGGCCTTTTTTTCTGAGACACTTCTGGGTGGAAGCGAACTTTCAACCCATGGTTAGCAGCAGCTGAGCATGTAAAGCCTCGGCGCCACTACAGAGGCTGATGCTGCTGTTAAGTGGCAATGAATCAATACTGACTCATATCGACCCTGTATGGGGTCTCCAAGGATCAGCTGGTGGGTTTGAATTGCCGACCTTGTGGCTAGTAGTCCAACGGTGAGTTTGAACAACTAACCTTGCAGCTCAAACTGACCTTTCAGCCAGTGCATTATCCTACAGTGCCACACCAGGACTCTACTATAGATAACAGGGTACAAATACTTATAAGCATGGGGTTTATGAGATTAATTTTGTTTTAAAGGGAAAAACACCACGCTGCTAACCGGGAAGGCTAAGGGTCTCCAAGCAAAGACGCTTATGCCCACAATGGAATTGGATAAAGCAGGCAGGGCAGCCACAGTTAAGCATAGGAACACAGAAGGAAATCTTCCGGTCAGGGAGGTGGCTCGTATAGCTCAGTCAGCAGTCACATGATGCCTGGGCCTCTTCCTCCGGGCTCAGGCCCAGCAAACACTTGAATGACTCTTAGCTTTGCATTCAAAGATGGGCAGGGGACACTTCTTCCCTTCTCCCACTGCCTCCATTCCCTACTTTGATTCCACCACTACTTCCTCATGAACTCATCACGTGGCTAAAAAATCACTCCAGAGAGATATTTCACAACACTGAAAATGCAGAAGATGAAATGTTGGAAGCAGCTAACCCTTAGAAAGGAATCTGATGATCTGCCAAAGCACAGGAAAGATGCTTGCTTGCAGAAATCATAGGACGCGAAGGAAGCCGGTGCTGCTCAAACCACTCCTGATAATTCTTAATGTCCTTGCAATTGCAGCGTGGTGGTGTGCAGATTACACCCTGCACGGCTAACCACAAGGCCAGCAGTTGGAGTGCACCAGCCACTCTGGGACAAACAGGAGGCTTTCTGCTCCTGTAAATATTTAGGGAGTCCTGGTGTGGCGCTGTAGGACAAGCACTGGACTGCAAGGTCAGTTTGAACTGCAAGGTCGATGGTTTAAATTCACCAGACGCTCCTTGGAAACCCTACACAGGGTCGCTATGAGACGGAACCGAAGCAATGGCACTTCACAACAACAATATTAGAAGTCAGTAGGGTTGGGAGGATTCTTGCCACATATAGGGAACTCAGATGCAACTTCTGTTAGCAAAGGTTTGGGTGTTGCTGGGATGTTGAACAGGCTTAGGCAGAGCTTCCTCCTAATATACACCTGGAAAAAAGGCCTTGTGACCGGCTTCTAATAATCAGCGAATGAAAACGCTACAGATGACAATCGTGCCACCCCATTAAGCACGCGGTTGCCACAATAACAAGGAGATACTCATTTTACTATTGGTCCCATTCCCCTATAATTTGTAACCAACAGTTACAAACGCTCTTCTCCCCAACGGCGGAGATCACCTTGCGTGGTTTCAGCTTCTACGGCATTTTCACAGCCCCGCACTGCTACATAAAGCGAGGCTGGCCTGCACGGAAACGCACCTTATGTAGCCCTCGTGGCTGGCACTTTCGCTGCAGATGTAGGCCACCTCAACCTGTTGGCTGGAAAGAGCATCTTCCAGAGAAATCTGCTGGACTCCATCAATGCTGCCAAGCTCTCGTCTATTTGAGAGAAGCAGAAAAATTAAACAAAATGGCATCGAACAAATGACCCTTCTGCCCAATAATGAATGTCCTGATGATGAACTTGAGAAAATGAAAGATTCATTCTCTTCTCTCCCACATTCAGGGTGATTTTCCACAGTGGTGGGAGAAGAATGGTTCAAGTCAGGAAACTGGGCATTGAGTAACCTGTATTACCTTTAACTGGTGATATTGTGGATTCCTTCATCTATGAAACAAAAAGGAAGGATCTCTCTATCACATGAGACGTGTTCTTTGCAGATGCTTCCAGTTTCAGGCACTTGGCCAAACATTCTAAATACCGAACCTAACTCAAATCCAACACAGCAACACCGTAGATGTGACGTTGCTCTGTGGCTTCAAGACACTCCATACGTCACAGCCAAGCTGACGGCAGAGGTCGCTGCCTCCTTCTACAGCTGAGCTGGCTGTGTCCACAGAGGCCGTGGCTGGCCCACGAAGACCAGTAGCAGAGGCTCTCGGCCTCTTAGAGTAGGACAGTCCAGCCTGGGCATTCTGCACGCTGATCCAGTGCAGAGGTGGGCCTCTCCTCTGAGGGGTGGCTGTCACTGAGGAATGTAGGCAGACGACAGGAGGCTCCAGACAGAAGGAATCCTCAGGGCACTGAACAGTGTGAGTGGACAGGGAGGGGGGAGGGGGAAAGCAGCGAGGAAGGATGTCCGCTTTTGCTCCCAGCTCCAAGAGGCAGCAAAGAGAGATGTTCCCTTGCCAAAGGGTATTAGGTTACGTTTGCTTCCAATGCGTTCACCTGATTTAACCAAGACTTATTTTTAGTCTATTGTGCGCTATGCATTGTAGGGCATGATGAAGAAATTCAAACCCTAATCTTCCAATGAGTTCGCAGTCTGGGAGAGGGAATAACAACACATGTTACACACCCAACAATACATGACTAACATGGGAAGTGTTGTGCTGGGGAATCGTGGGAGCTCAGAGAAGGGACACATCTAGTTTAGCAAAGGTTCCTAGGGTGGGGGTAGGGGGTAGGATATTAACAGGAGTGGAGGAGGGGGATGTGAAGAAGGGAACAGTGTGAGGACTGTGGTATGAGCTGAACTCTTAGCCTTTTCTCCCGTCTTTCCCCCTGCCCCTGGGGATCTGGATGATTTGGGGGGACCCCATTGCATTGCTCTTGGCAGCCAGTTGCTAGGGGACTGGCGCTTAAGAGAAAAGGAGAGAACCCACTTCAGGTGAGCCCAGCTTTAAGTTGGGGACCATATGGGGTTATAAAGTCCAAACCCAAATCCACTGCCTTACAGTGGATTCTGACTCATAGTGACCCTAGGTAGGGGAGGTTGGAAATCTTTACGGGAGCAGAAAGCCTCCTCTTTCTCCTCTGGAGAGGTTGGTAGATTCAAACTGCTGATCTTGTGTCTAGCGGCCCAACATGTAATCTACTAAGCTGCCAGGGCCTCTGGCTAACAATGCCTCTCCTCTCCTACTTGCCACAGTCCCTGTCTAACGGAGAAGGAAACCTGGGCCAAGACAGAGCCCAGCATGACTGGTCTCTGTGATGCTCCAACCCACCTTTTATAATAGGCAAACTGGAAGAAGGTGGATTGGATTATGAATCAAAATGCGAAAACACTTCTGCATGGACCACGTCAGTAATTATTTGTCCTTTGGGTAAGTGTGTATTTAATGTCTCTAAAGCAACAGGAGTCCTAGTGATACAGTGGTTAAGCACTTGGCTGTGAACCCAAAGGTTGGTATTTCAAACCCATTAGCTGCTCCTTAGGAGAAAGCTGTGACAGTCAATTCTTAAAAGATTACAGTCTTGAAGAGCCTCTGGGGCAGTTCTATATTATTCTATAGGGTCACTGTGAGTTAGAATCGAATCTGCTTGGAAGACGTTAGGTTCTGAGGAGCCTTGGTGGCACAATGATCAAGTGCTCAGCTAGTAACAGAAATGTTAGTGATTTGAACCCACCATCTGCTCCATGAAAGATGTGGCAGTCTGTTTCCATAACAATCTGTTGTCGTGGTTGTTAAGTGTCTTTGAGTAGAGTAATCCTAGCAATCCAATATAGGGTTTCCAAGGAGCAACTGGTCGGTTTTCACCACCAACTTTGTGGTTAGCAGTCTCCTGTGGCTCCCACAGCGTCACACCAGGACTGCCTTGGAAACCCTGTGGGGCAGTTACACTCTGAACTGTAGAGAATCAACTTTGTTGGATTCAACCTGACAACAGGGTTTTTAAAGCAACGGAAAAGAGGGATGTGTCAAGTTTACTTGGTCACCACCTCATCCCCACACCCAGCAGCGTCTGGAACTGTGTGTGTACTGTGTGCCATTCAGATTCATAGCCAACTTGTTGTGCCTACAAGTCGGTTCCGACTCATAGAAACATTATGCACAACAGAACGAAACACTGCCCATTCCTGGACCATCTTCACAATGGTTGGTGTGTTTGAGCCCTTTTTTGCTGCTATGGCGTCAATCCATCTTGTTGGGGGTCTTCCTCTTTTTCGTTGACCCTCCACTTTAGCAAGCATGATGTCTTTCTATAGGGACTAATCTCCTTGACAGTATGTCCAAAGAATGAGAGACAAAGTCTCCCCATCTTTGCTTCTAAGGAGAATTCTAGCTTTACTTCTTCCAAGAAAGATTTGTTTGTTCTTCTGACAGTCCATGATACTGTTAATATTCTTCACCAACACCATAGTGCAAATGCATCCATTCTTCTATAGTCTTCCTTATTCACTGTCCAACTTTCATACGTGTATGAGGCAATGGCTTGGGTCAGGTGCACCATAGTCCTCAAGCTGACATCTTTGCTCTTCAACACTTTAAAAAGGTCTTGTGCAGCAGATTTGCCTAATGCAACACATCGTTTGATTTCTTGACTGCTGCTTCCATGAGAATTGATTGTGGATTCAAGCAAAATGAAGTCTTTGACAACTTCAATCTTATCTCTGTTGCTGTTGTTAAGTGCAGTCAAGTTGGTTCTGACTCACAATGACCCTGTATATGACCCCACATATGAGGGTTTCTGAGAAGCAGCTGGTAAGTTTGAACCGCCAGCCTTTCGGTTCAAACCAACCTCGTGGTTTACAGCTCACCACATCTGGACTCCCTTCTCTGTCTATTTTAATGTTATTTGTTGCTCCACTGTGGATAAAGGATACCTTCCTGACGCACATCTTTAGTGATTTAAACCATTCAGCATCCCATTGTTCTGTTGGTCCACGTACCGTTTCCTCATGAACACGATGAAGTGCTCTGAGATTTACATTCCTTGCAGTGTGATTCATTGTTTGTTATGATCTGGACCGTGGAATGCCTTTGCATAGTCAATAAAGCACAAAGTAAACATCTTTCTAGTATTCTCTGCTTTTAACCAAGATCCATCTGATGTCAGCAAAGACATTCCTTGTTCCATGTCCTCTTTTGAATCTAGCTTAGATTTCTGGCAGCTCCCCATTGATATAATGCTGTAACTGGTTTTTAATTTCATCTTCAAAAAATTTTTACTTGCATATGATATTTATAATTATGTTCAATGATTCTGTTATTCCATTGGAATGGTCACAAAAATGGGCTGGGGAGCACACAACTTGTTCCAATCAGTTGGTCAGGCAGCCGTCTTCCATATTTCTGGGCATAAATGAGTGAGTGCCTTCAGCGCTGAATCAGTTTGTTGAAAAATTTAACATTTATATTTTTGTCAATTTCTGGGTCTTGTTTTTCACCAATGCCTTCGGTGCGGTTTGGGCTTCTTCCTTTAATACCATTGGTTCTTGATCACAGGCTGCCTCTTGAAATGGTTGACTATCAACCAATTCTTTCTGCACATTGATTCTCTGTGTCTTCCTTCCATCTCCTTTTGATGCTTCCTGCATCATTCAGTATTTGGCCCATGCTGTTGTTATAAAGTGCCATCAAGTTAGTTCCAACTTCTAGTGACTCTATGTACAACAGAGTCCTGGTGTGGCGCTGTGGGTTAATGCTCTGGACTGCAAAATCAGTTTGAGCTGCAAAGCCAGCAGCCGCTCCTCAGAAACCCTATACAGGGTTGCTATGAGTCAGAACTGACTCCATGGCACTTCACAACAACACGCACAACAGAACCAAACACCAGTCAGTCCTGCGCCATCCTTACAACTGCTGTGTTTGAACCCATTGCTGCTGCAACTGTGCCAATCCATCTCATTTGGGCTTTTCCTCTTTTTCACTGAGCCTCCACTTGACCAAGCCTGATGTCCTTCTCCTGATAACAAAGTATGAGAAGTGAAGTCTGGTCAGCCCGACTTTAAAGGAGAATTCTTCCAACACAGATTTGCCCATAGAATCCATCAGTATTGCAACACAAGATTGATTTTTTTCTTCTGTTGTTTCAGCTTGAGAAATACTGAGTATCTTCTTGCCTTTTGGGTTTCTAACACCAGGTCTCTGTACATTTCGTTATAATACTTGACTTTGTCTTCTCAAGCTGCCCTTTGAAATTTTCTGTTCAGCTCTTTTACGTCATCATTTCTTCCAGTTGCTCTAGCTTCTCGAAGCCCAAGAGCAAGTTTCAGAGCTTCTTCTGACATCCATTTTGTTTTTTTCCTGGATTTTTAATGACCTTTTCTTTCTTCATGTATGATGTTCTTGATGACTTCCTACAACACTTCTGGTCTTTGGTTATTAGTGTCGAATGCATCAAATCTGTTCTTGAGATGGTCTCTAAATTCAGGTGCGATATAGCGCAGTAAGATAAGTACGGATTGCAAGGTCGGCGGTTCGAACTTACCAGCCACTCCTCAGAAATCCTATATAGGGTCAGTCAGAACCAACTCAATGGCATTTAACAACAACCTATTCACATTCATATTTTGGCCCTTGTGAACTTGTTTTCATTTTCTTCAGCTTCAGGCTGAACTTGCATATGAGACCTTGGTGTTCTGTTTCAGTTGGCCCATGACCTTGTTTGGGCTGACTGCATTGAGCTTCTCAATGATCTCTCCTGACAGATGTAATCAATTTGATTCCTGGGCATTACGTCGGGTGAGGTCCACATGCATAGTTGTCTTTTATGTTGTTGAAAACAGGTATTTGCACGGGTCTTGCAAAATTCTATCATGCGATTTCCAGAATCTTCTGTATCACCAAGCCCATATTTTCCAATTCTGGATCCTTCCTCTTTGTTTCCAACTTTCACATTACAATCACCAGTAATTATTAATGCATTTTTATCGCATGTCTGATCAATTTAATACTGAAAAAATTTGTTGAATTCTTCAGTTTTATCATCATTGGCTTTAGTGGTTGGGTCATAAACTTGAATAATAGTGGTATTAACTAGCCTTCCTTGTAGGTATATGCATGTTATCCTATCAGACAGCATTGTACTTCAAGACAGATCTTGAAATGCTCTTTTTTATTATTTATTATTTTTGTTGTTAATTGAGTGAAAGTTTACAGGGCAGATCATCAGTTTTACATTCAACAAATCATATACTTTCATTACAATGATTATAATCTCCTCCATGTACCATCAATTAACAGTATTTCTCTCTATTCATTTTAGCTCTTTTTTTTTTTTTTAAGCCCTCAGGCATATATAATAATTCACACCATCAAACGGCACATTTTGCAAGTCTGCCTCCTGGCCACCACAACCCAGTCCCTTTCTTTCCAGGAGTCTAGAGTGCTCAGCTGTTTCCTCTCTGCATGTCCTCATCTTTGCCTCCATCTCTGGTATTGCTGCTTCTCTGGATAGGGTCCCACATTCTGCTCGTGCTCTTCTCCCTTGATGATCCTAGAGTCCTCTGTTTCTGGACTGTGAGATTAAATGCTCCCTCATTTTTGTTACAAAACTTCTACCTTTACAGTTGTGACAGTCACAATTAGTCATGATAACAATTACTCACTATTGAATCATAAGAATCTTATCCCCGTCTCTTTTTACCAGACCCGTCTACAAAAGATGAAAACTATTCAGTGGAGTCTCTACTTTTGTCCACATACTCTTAAACTAAATTCCTTCTTGAAAACTTGTAAGCCAGTCACTTTGTGCCTTTATCACCCCCTGAAATGCTCTTTTTAAAGATGAATATGATAGCATTTCTCTTCAATTTGTCATTCTCGGTGTAGTAAATCAAATGATTTTCCTGTTTAAAATGGCCAATACCAATTCTTAGAATATCGATCCAATGCCTAGAACATCGATCTTTATGTGCTTCATTGCATTTTTGACAACTCCCAATACTCCTAGATTCATACTTTGTACACTCCAGGTTCTGATTATGAATGGATGTTTGCAGCTGTTTCTTCCAGTTTTTGAGTTGTGCCACAACAGCTAAGGAAGGTACCCATTCATGTCATTAAGGTCAACTTAAAGGAGGTAGCTCTTCCCCAGTCATATTCTCAATGTCTTCCACCCTGAGGGGTTCGTCTTCTGGCACTATTTCACTGTCTCGAACTATGTTCCATTACTATTCATAAAGCTTTCAGTGGCTAGCTATTCAGAAGCGGTCTGCCTCTCTCTCATTCTTCTAAGTCTGGAAGCTCTGTTGAAACTTGTCCCACATGGGTGTCCCTATTGTTATTTAAAATACTGGTGGCATCGTTTCCAGCATTACAACACACAAGCCACCCTAGTATGACAAACTGATATATGAGTGGTGGGTACCTAACCTAGCGCACAAGTAATACTGATGACTATGTTACAGAGGCTAGTTTGGTCATAGGTGTGTGTGTGTGTGTGTGTGTGTGTGTGTGTGTGCATCAGTGGAAAGTACAACAAGGAAGATGAAACACTGTGCTAAATTCAGTTTTGACTGAGTCATAGGAGATGAATCCTTGAAAAACGAATGTGGAGCTTAAAATTCTCAATGGGCTTTAAAACGCTCTACCTGTGTGGCCTGAGCAAATTACATAACCTCTCTGTAGGCTCAATTTCCTCATCTGCAAAGTGAGGAAACAGCGTGCCAAACAGCGAGTGCATCTAGAATCACATATCTGCACAGGGATGCAGTTCCGACCACCGATGGAACATGCTACAAGAAACTTCACTGCAGAGCTTTTGGTCCATTAGGACTCCACCCTCATGCCCCTCCCCCCTCTCACCTCCCTCTATCTTCATAGACCCCACAGGTGAGCTATGCGCATCCCAACCTCTGTCCCAGACCCACTCATGCTTAAGGTCTTGTGGAGCTGACCCTAGACACACTTCTCTGGACTGAGGCTGGACCTACTGCCTCTCCTTCCCTGGGCCAGGAGGATTCCTGTCTCCCTGAGCTTCCCAAAGCAAGTCAAGTCACCTGGACACAAAGCCAATCAAGTTCAGGAACGCCGAGGAAGCCCGTGGGTCCCGCAAGTCCCTCATCCGCAACAACCCAGCTCTGCCGACGCCAACCACCACCACGCCAAACTTTCTCTCGGGCTGAAACACACACAGGGAACGGTGTGAAAACAGGTCAGACATCCAGTAGGGAGTGGGAAAGCAGACATGTGCGCAGGAGCAACTGGGAGGCTGACAAGCAAGGAAAGGAGCCAGCCTAGAAAAAGGAGCTACTTTCTCTCTGAGCCACAAGGCACTCATCAAAGTGTGGGCTTAGAGAGGAGTCTGCTGCACTCAAAACTCAGCTCTAAAAGGACCCAGAAGCCCTCTGGGAAAAGGTTCTCCACTTTGGGCTCTATTTCTACGACCCTCTCTCCAACACTGTAAGGGAGATTTTTCTCTTTAAGCCACTCCATCAGGGGTCCTCCAGGGTCCACAACCATCCTGGGAGATGTTAACAGACAAGACATGAGCTGTCAACTGCTCACCCAGGACCCCTCTGGCTTAAGCCCTCACTAGGGCTTTTTGATTTTACATTGGTGGCACTGAAGGATAGGCACTGGACTGGAAACTGCAAGGTCAGCAGTGCAAACCCATCAGTGACTTCATGGGAAAAAAATGAGGCTTTCCACTCCCATAAAGATTTATAACCTTGGAAACCCTACACAGGGTTGCTATGAGTCAGAATCGACATGATGGTAGTTGAGTTTTTTTAAGTTTGGTGCTTTCTGAGTTAACGAATTCAGCTGCTAATCACAAGATTGGTTTTGAATAGCAGAAGTACCACAGAAGAGCTCATCATCTGCTTTCAAAATATGTGCCACTGAAAACCCTGTGGGGCACAGTTTATTCTTACAAAAATGGGTAGTCTCCGTTGACTTGATGGTAACATTTTTTTTTTTGGGGGGGTGCCTTAGATATTATTTAAGTATACTGCTATAGACTGTATGTAAGTAGTTGTTTTTAAGTGCTGTCGAGTCAGTTCTGACTCACAGTGACTTTATATAGGGTTTCTGAAGACTGACTGGTGGATTTGAATGGTCAACCCTTTGGTCAGCAGCCTAACGTTTATCCTACAGTGGTACACCATGCAAGTTGTTGTTGTTGTTATGTGCTGTGGAGTCGGTTCTGACTCATAGTGACCCTGAACAGGGTTTCCGAGGCTGTAAATCTTTACGGGAGCAGAAAGCCTCATCTTTCTCCTATGGAACAGCTGGTCATTTCGAACTGCTGACCTTGCGGTTCACAGCGCGATTCATAACCACTATGCTACCAGAGCTCCCGTGGAACAGCTGGTAGTTTAGTGAAAAATCAATTTGACCATTCAAAGTTGTACAGCAACTCAATAGGTTCTAAGTTGATCAGATGATCTCTCTGGTTGTCGTTAAGTGCCATTGAGTCTGTTCTGACTCACAGCACCCCTAGACAGAGTTTCTGTGACTGTAAATCTTTGTGGGTGCAGAAAGCCTCATCTTTTTCTCAGGGAGTGGCTGGTGGGCTCGAACCACCAACCTTGTGCTTCAAAGTCCAGTGCTTATCCTACCGAGTTACCGCACTCCCCAAAATGGTCTTCACACATCCCTTAAATCAATTCTTTTTGAAAGTCACTGAGCGTAGACATGGGGTGGTACCCCAGCCTTGCCCTTCCCTTCCCCTCTGATATTAAGGTGATTAAAAAATAACTATGCTTATATATTGCTAGGTGAAGAGCAAATTTGTACAACCATTTAACCTGCCTGCTATTCAAGGAGCTCTGGTAGCGTAGCGGTTACAAATGGGGCTGCGAACCGCAAGGTCAGCAGTTCGAAACTACCAGCTGTTCCGCAGGAGAAAGATGAGGCTTTCTGCTCCCGTAAAGATTTACAGCCTCGGAAACCCTGTTCAGGGTCGCAAGGAGCTCTGGTAGCGTAGTGGTTACGAATCGGGCTGTGAACCATAAGGTCAGCGGTTCGAAACTACCAGCTGCTGCGGGAGAAAGATAAGGCTTTCTACTCCCGTAAAGATTTACACCCTCGGAAACCCTGTTACAGGGTCGCTATGGGTCGGAACCGACTCAATGGCACTTAACAACAACAACATGAGTCGGAACCGACTCGATGGCCCTTAACAACAAGAAGAAGAATTCATGGACATCTCCAAGGCAGCTATATTATAAACTTAGGCCATTTAACTTGTATAGTTCTGTAGGGTCCATCTGTAGAAAGGGATCTTTTAATTTCATAATTTTTCCATGAACTTTTTGAACCTCTCTCATATTTGCAACATAATAAATATTTTCAAGTTTTCCTCCAGAAAACGTGTACCAATTTGCTCTTCATTTTGACTCAACTCAATGGCACTTTACAGCAACACAAATAACAGTTTTTTACATCCTTGTCAACCAATGTGTTGTGAAACGTTTCAGTCCTTGCAGACAGATGAATGAAAACACTCTATTTTGAATCCCTTCTCCCCTTCCCCAAGTGGTGGTTAGGTTGGTTTCTGTACTACTACTTAACACTTTGAAGTTCTTCTGCAGTGATTACATGCTCCCTTCTATCCGTTTCATCTGGAAACAAAACTCTAAAAACTGTCTTTTGCAACTTGAGTGAGCCTGTTCTCTTAAGCTCCAATTTTAAGTTTAGATCTATGAACATGACAGAGTCTTGGTGTGGCGCTATAGGGGAAACACTGGCCTGCTAACAGCAAGGTTGGTGGTTCACACCAGCCACTGCATGGGAAGCCTGTAAATGGTTACTATGAGTCAGAAGCACCTTAATGAAGGCAGTTAACAACAGCATCAACATGAATATTGTTCTTATTGCTAAGTATTGCTGAGTAGGTTTCAACTCAGAACAACCCTGTATTAGGTTTCCAAGGAGTGGCTGGTAAGTTTGAAACGCTGACCATGTAGTTCAAACTAACCTTGTGGCCAAGTGCTTATCCTACAGCGCCACACCAGGACTCTATCATGAATATTGCACAGTTATAAAAAATGATGAAAAAAGAAGACTGAAGAGGACATGGAGAGAGGGAGCAGCTGAGGACTCTAGACTCGTGGAAAGAGAAAGGCTGTGTGCTAGCAGCCAGGAGGGAGGCTTGCAGAATGTGCCTTTTGGTTGCTTAAATGCTTATATATTCCTGAGTGTTTTTGTGTACATATGAAAAAAACACAAACAAAAACCAACAACAACAACAGAGGGAATAGAAGCAAATACTGTTTGAATGATGCTGCACGGAGACTGTAATCATTGCAATGATACGATGAGTGTAAAACTGAAAACACCAAACACACTAAAAACTTAAAAAAGAAGAAGAAGATTGAAGAAGAGTTAATGTATTTAAATTCTGAAGTCAGTGAAGAATATTGACTATACTGTGGAATGCTAAAATAATGAAGAAGTAAATCTTAGAAGAAATGTAATCAGGATGTTCCTCAGAAGCAAAGGTGATGAGAGTCATAGAGTGGATTTTGTCTCTCCAGGACATGTATCAGTTTGGCTGGGTCATGATTCTCATTGGTTTGGTAGTTGTGTACTGCGGCCGTTAAGTGATGATCTCCCATGATGTAATCTGATGTGACCCACCAATAAGAGGATTAAGGGTGGGCTACAACACCCTACGGAGTCCTAGTGTGACTCTGTGGGCTAATGCGTCAGACTGCACAGTCGTTTGAACTACAAGGTAGGTGGTCTAAGCTCATCAGATGCTTCTTGGAAACCCTATATAGGGTCACTATGGGTCAGAACCTACTCAATGGCATTTAACAACAACAACAACAACAATACCCTACTGAGGAGGACTCAATAACAACCTGTGATATGCAGATGATACAACCTTGCTTGCTGAAAGTGAAGAGGACTTAAAATACATACTGATGAAGAACAAAAACCAAAGCCTTTGGTATGGGTTGCATCTCACTGTAAAGAGAATAAAAATCCTCACCACTGGATAAATAAACAACATGGAGAAAAGAATGAAGTTGTCAAAGACATCATTTTGCTCAGCTCAACCATCAACACTCATGGACGCAGCAGTCAGATCAAACGACACATTGCGTTAAGCCTATCTGTTGCACAAGACCTTTTTTAAGTGTTCGAGACCAAAGATGGCATCTTGAGGACTAAAGTGCGTTTGACCCAAGCCATGGTATTTTCAATAACCTCATGTGCATGCAGAAGTTGGACAATGAATAAGGAAGACCACAGAAGAATTGATGAATTTGAGTTATGGTGTTGGAGGAGAATACTGAAAATACCATGGGCTGTCAGAAGAACAGATCTGTGTTGGAAGAAGTGCAGCCAGAGTGCTCATTGGAGGCCAGGATGACCAGATCTGGTCTCTCATACTTTGGACATATTGTCAGGAGAAACCAGTCCCTGAAAAAGGATATGTTGGTAAAGTGGAGGGTTGGAGAAAAAGAGGAAGAACCCCAGTGAGATGGACTGACACCCTGGCAGCAGCAGTGGGGTCAGGCATAGCAACTATTGTGAGGTTGGCCCAGGACCGGGCAGTGTTTCATTCTGTTGTGTGTAGGGTCGCTGAGTCAGTGCCAACTCATTGGCACCTAACAATAACAACAACAACACAATACACTATTAAGGGACGCTATGAGATGGCATTGACTCAACAGCACAAAACCACCACTACCACAGTATCTTTAATCTCATCACAATCCTGATCAGATGTAAGGGAGTTTCCTCGGGGTGTGGCCTGCAACCTGTTTTATCTTACAAGAGATAAAAGCAGAGCGATTCAAGCAGAGAAGAAGGGGCCGACTGCCACCAAGAAATAAGAGCCTGGAGTGGAGTTCATCCTTTAGACCTGGGTCCCTGCCCTGTGATTCAGGGAAAGATGCCAAAACACATGGAAATCCCCAAGGAATGCTGGGATGCTGGGCCTCCAGAGGCTGAAAGGAAACAAGGCCCTTTCCCCAGAGCTGGGGCTCTGATTTCAGACTTGTAGCCTCCTAAACTATGATAGAAGAAATCTCCGTTTACTTGTGGCATTTCTGCTACAGCAGCACTAGATAACCAAGGGAGTGAGACTTTGACTCTCTTGCTTTCGATGTCATCAGGAAAGACCAGTTGCAAGAAAAGGTTTGATAAAGTAGAGGGAGCCCTTCAATGACACGTTAGCTGTAACAACGGGCTCAAACGTACCATCGACTGTGAAGACGGAGCAGGGCCAGACATCTTCTCCTTCTGTTAGGCGTAAGGTGGTCATGAGCTGAGGCGACTCTGGCTGGACCTTCAGGCTCAGTGCTAAACTCCACTCAACGTCCACCTAACTGCTGCACTCTGAACATCTGGGTAAGGTCCAGGGTCCCCAGGAACTCTCGTAACCACCCTAGGAATCACTCATGCATTGATGAGTGTCCCCGGAGACTCAAGGGAGGGTTGACCAACGGCTGCTGGAACCTTCTCAACCCTCCACCTCCAGTCAACCTCTGAGTCACGGGACATTTTCCTTCACAGTTTCCCTCATGTGACTTCCTTCCTCCACATGCTCACTGATTTGCCCCAGCTCTGGATTGCATTACAAGACTACCAAGGACTCTCTGAACCAACCTCTCATTAATTCAGCTGACATTTTGTGAAGATGTATTAGGCTTCAAACCAGATGCTGTGGAGATGCTACGATAAGCAAAGCATACCAGTGTCTAGATTTGAAGTCAGAGTGTGGAATGTAATTAAGAAAGAAAGCCAGAAAACAGGCTGATCAGACGAGGGCAGGCTTTGAGTGGGTGCTTAGAAGACATGTGAACTATGTGGCTAATGATTAGCTAAACACTGAGAGGGAGAAAGGCCTTCGTGGGGTCAACAAGTTCAGGACTGAACCCCACCCCACTCCCAATCTGCTTCTTAACACCCTGTGACTTTAAATCATTTACTGAATTCTTATCTTGCTCATCTGAAAACCAGGGGCGATTCATAGTTCCTTCCTCATAGACACTTTGCTATGCTGTGCCAGGGGGCTCTAGGCAGTAGATTAGCTAGCTACATGTAATACCCTTAAAACAGGGCTGGTATGGTGTTACAGGATAAAGCGTTGGACTGTAAGGTAAGTTTGAACTGTAAGGTTGGCGGTTCAAATTCACCAGCTGCTCCTCAGAAACCCTATACAGGGGTCACTATGAGTTGGAACCGCTCGATGGCATGTAACAACAACAAAACACTGCTTAGTTAAAAAGGGCACCTGTTGCTGACAGTCACCTAAAAGGCTTGAGGGGACCTGTCCAGAGAATACAGCTAACATGTGAAGGGACAGCAGAGAGATGACAAGTTCCTGGGTCTTTGACTTAATTACTGAGCCACTGGGTCAACCTGCCCATTATGGGACCAAGCAAGTTCATAGGCAATATACAAGAGGGCAGTGATGGTTTGGTGGTAGAATTCTTGGTTTCCATGTAAGAGACCTGGGCTTATTTCCTAGCTAACACACCTCATGCACAGTTATTACATGTCTGGCATAGGAGGTTTGCATGCTGCTTTGATGCTGAACAGGTTTCAACGGAACTTCCATACTAAGATGGATTAGAAAGAAGTCCCAATGATCTACTCCAGAAAATCAGGCAATGAAAACTCGATGGATCACAATGATCTAATGCACAGTCGATCCCGGGATGACCAGGGCCAGGTAGTGTTTCGTGTGTTGGCCCAACTCAAGGGTAGTTAATAAGAGCAACAGTGAGTTGGGTGTCTTCATGCTTGGAGCCCAGAGCACTGGAAACATCTCTTCCACAGAGCCAGGGCGACTCAGACAAGTTGGGAGGCAGGGATTGTTGCTTCTAAGTTTTCTCCATAAAGTAAAAGACGACTGAGATGCCCAGAGTGAAGAGGCAGGTGAAAAGAGTACAGAACTTTGAGAGAGAGAGAAACGATGACTTAAAATCTTTGTTAACATGATTTCATAAAATAAACAAAAAAAAGGCAACAAGAAAGTGGGTCACCTGGGGCTTTGTAGAGGCCTGGCAGGCAGAGCTGAATGCCCAGATGAGATTTTAAGACCTTACACGGCCTCTCGTCCGAGTCCACTGCTCCGTGGGGGATAGTCTCTGGATTTGACGCAGTGGACAGACAGGATGAGAAAAGGAGCTGAGGCCATGGGCACAAAGGTGGTTGAAGCGCAGGGGCTAGGCTGGACTGAAGTGGAAAGAGGAAGGGATTGATGGAGTGGAAAATTGGAAGGTAGCGAGAGGTTCAACATACACACATACAAAAAGTCAAAGTGAATAGAGAGAAATACTGTTAACTGATGGTACATGGAGGGGATTATAATCATTGTAATGAAACAAGGTGTATGATTTGTTGAATGTCAAACTGCTGATCTGCCCTGTAAATTTTACTCAATTCACAATAAAAACCTTAAATAAAAAAGAGGCTCAACACTGATCAACGAAGAGATGAAGTGGAAGTGAGAGAGATGAAGGAAGCGATGCAGAGAAAAGTCCTCATAACCAGAGCTAAGCGTCCCCAGAATACCACAGGCCAGCAGCACCCCACCCCAGCCCGTGAGTGTTGTTTCAGGATTAGCTGTAGTGGATAAATTCGAGTCTAGCTGGGGCAGGAAGCCACAGATAAGAGCTGTAAGGGGCCCGAGGCTTTCCATATCACCCAGAGCCATGTGCCCAGCGAAAAGGGTGGAGGGAAAATGTTTGGGATGCAAGCTCCATGGGAGAAAGGGTACTGCGTGCAGGGAAGACAAGGTGCCACGTGAAGAAAGCATTCTTTAAACAGGTCCACGTGAAGAACTTACCTCTGTGTTCATCTTGGCCGCTTCCTTCAGTAGCTGTGAAAACAAAGGCAGAGGTTCAGGACTCTGGTGGCACTGCTCCAAACTTCAGGCAGATGTTCCCCTTTACTGCCTCACTTTCTCCCCTACAACATCCTGCTGCATTTTCCCCATCTTCCTGAATACTCACAGGGTGGGTACCCAGAGCCTGGCTCTGGGGTTGGAGGTGGCTGACTTCCTGTTTCACTAAAGAAGGGCATCCTGACCACCCACATTTACCTCTTAAACTGTAACAGCTGCTGTAAACGCGATGTCTCTATGTATTTAAAACAACCATGCATTCTCCAAAGTAGATGCTGGAAGAGGACAGCTTAGCATTTGGCTTTCCTTTATGGGCACAAGCAAGTTCATAAGAAATATACACAGGCAGTGGTGGGTCCATGATAATCTTAAAAATCAGAACTTGCTAGAAGACAAACCCTGAAGACCAGCAACTGACAGAGTGAGCTATCAGATCACTAGGCATCAGTAAGGGTGTGATGTATGTTAATGTATTAAATATCTCAGAAGGATAATGAAAAGACACTCAAAGCTAAGCTGGAGGGGAAAGAGGCAGACCTAAGCCAAGGACTTGGCTGCCATCCCCTTCCTATCTGGGGACCCTACATGGATCGGACTCCTGCCTCTCCCTGACACTGCAGTGTTTATATTTCTCAGAATTTTCATTTAAGTCCCCCTGGAACATACATGTGAGCGGGAAAATCAAATGACAAAATGAACAAGTATGAGAAAGATGATTAAAAAACACACTTCCTGTGTTAGGTACTTTATAACATTAACCCTAATCTGCACTAAACCCCAGCAAACCCACTTCCACCACGTCCATTCGGACTCACAGTGACCTGCAGTATAGGAAGAACTAGTCCAGGGGAGTCAGAGCCTGTAAATTCTTTACAGAAGCAAGCTGACACCTTTCTTTTACAGAGCAGCTGGTGGGTTCAAACCAACAGCCTTTATGTTGGCACCCGAGTCCTGAAACCATGGTGCCACCAGGGGTCCTAACTCATACAACCTTTACAAAAAAAAACAAACAAAGCAGTTGTAATTTTACTTTAAATGAGGTAGGTAAAGATCAAGGAGGTTTTGAAAGCACTGGCCCAAGGCCCCGTAGACAAATTACTGTAGTACTCAGCTGTGTGGTCCGGACTTTCTGGTTCTAAAGCAAACTCTACATTGCACCAGAAACCTTTATTGGGTCTTACGAGTTGGGCTGTTAACCTCAAAGTCAGCAATTCAAAACTACCAGTGGTTCTGCGGGAGAAAGATGAGGCTTTCTGCTCCTATAAAGATTTGTTGTTGTTGTTGTTGTTAGGTACGCTTTGGTACTGACCCATAGCAACCTTATGCACAGCAGAACGAAACACTGCCTGATCCTGGGCCAACCTCACTACTGTTGCCACACTTGAGTCCATCGATGCTGCCACTTGGCCAATTCA